TTTCAGCTGCAGCCCTGGAATCAGCCCTGACTCTGTTCTGGTGGGACATGAGCCCAATTCGTGCCCTGGAGCTGAGTGACCCCAGAGCTGCTGTGACCTCAGCCAGGTCACCTCCTGTGTCACCCCTGGGCTGGCAGCTCCCCTGGGCTCGGTGTCTGAGCCTCATCGGCAAAACTGAGCCCAGACATTTGCATGGAATATCTAAAAGTGGTTTTGGTGACCTTCCCTTTTGCATGTCAGCTATAGAGCAATAGCAGAAGGTTTCCTCCTCAGTATACATATTTACGGAGGTCCTGCAGTAACTTTTTTGCTAGGTAAGACGTAAATGATTACGAATAAAACCCGGATTACCCATTTGTCTCCACTGCAATTAGTGTGACCCACATCATCCCTCCATTCCCACATCAGCCCCGTTCCCTCATCAGCCCCAATTCCCAAATCATCCCAAATCATCCTCCATCCTCACCCCACAGAGCTGCCCTGGTCCTGCCTGTCCCTCATCCTGCCCGTGTCCCCAGAGCTGCCCGTGCTCCCTTTTTCCCCAGATCCTGCCATCCCTGCAGTTTCAGAGCCCTCAGGAGCTGCAGAAGCCATTCCAGCCCAGCGGGATCAGGACAAGGTTTGACATTCTGCCCTGGGCTCTCCTCTGTCCCCCTTTCCCAAGGAAAAGGCTCCAACAAAAGAGCAGATTCTGCTCTTTGGCTTTGCCTTTGTTCAGGTACCTGCAAGGCAGGCAGAGAAAACTCCTCCTGAGCCTGGGAAGATAAATCATTTCAGGATTAAAGGGTTTATTGTTAGCATTGCTACACTTTCCAAGGGCCGAATGCATTGCAAGTCCTAAAATCTCCAACCATTCCAAAGAAAAGTGCCCTGGACCTCAGAGCCTCTGTCAGGAAACCTCTTCAAGGAAAGGACAAATTTGCTAAAAATAATTAAAACACTTGCTCACAAGARAAYATTAACTGATTAAAGAAGAGACCGRAAGTCTTCTGAAATTCAGCTTCTSTCCAACAAAACAGTGGGAACACAGCTGTACCTCTGACAGTCACATCSTGCTGATTGTGTCAAGAAATCTCAGATTCAAATAGAGGCAAACACATAGGTTTGAGGATTTTGAGGGTGATCTCTCTCAAGACTGTCCTCTACCAAAAAAAAAGGAAATACATGCAATAACAAATATATAGAAATTTCGACCGTTGTGTCGTTTGCTGTGATTTTCATCAGCTTATGTGGTAGAAGATATATTTTACACTCCAATTTTGAAAAAAAAAACCCCACATAAARTTGTTATTTGCTCCTKAGCTGGTTGTTCTGGCTTGCAGATRTTCAGGGACAAACTTTATTTCYTGGSAGCTGCCTGAGTCACCCGAGTTGAAACATTGTCAATCTRTTTTTGCTTCTCCCGAGGACACAGMAACAACCACGAGTCCAAAGGTCTTTTTTTATTGTGATTCTACAGCCACACCTGAACCCAACGAGCTATAAAACAAATCATGAAAAAAACCTTTTTTCAAACCCATTTTGTAAAAAGAAAACTCAGATACATCCAAATAGTTATTCAACTGTTCCCTGCAATCTGTTCCCTGCTCTGTAAAAGAACATTTTATTAACTCCTCTACACAGGAGCAGATTTTCTTTTATTAGATCTTATTGCAGAATCACAGCTTAAAAGCRCTGGTGGTGGAGAGGTAATTACCATTTAAATAAGACATTTCAATGTGCAGGACATCTAAATGATACAGACAGAAAAATAAAACTAGAAAATAAACCTGTAGGAAACCTTCCTTTCTTTTTTTTTCCCTATTTTTTAATGGTTTACAAGGATCCTATCACAGCTTCTGAAGCAGTATTCTCCATTTTAGCATGGTGGTAGATGTTAATATTACAAAAGCAGAGAAATAACCCTTTTAGATGTTATTGTCTCAAAACCATCAGTCGTGATGCCTCTGGGCAGCATTAAATCATCCAAAGTGTCTACTCCCTGCACTTTGGAAGCAAATGGGAGATTTTTTTTGCTAGAACTGTTTCAAATGATGGCTTTCTCTATAAATCCTGTCTGAGGAATTCCTCGAAGGCTGCAGGGAGGAAAGGCAGCCCTGCTGCTGTGACATGGGGTGGGACGTGGGTGCTGATGTGGCCTCGTGCACAGAGCACCTGGGGGCTCTTTCTGTCTGAGAAAATGATAAAGAGACCTCTGCAAATTCTGCAGCTCAGCCACTGCCCCAGAGCAACAACTGTGGCAATGCAGGGATGGG